ACACACACACACACACACACACACACACACACACACACACACCTATAAACTCTTAGGTGGTGTCAGTCTGTGCCACCACCCAGCATATATGTGCAGAATGTCAGGCTACTTCCTGGGTTTCCACACCACTCAGCACTGAGTCACCAAATCCCAGATTACTGTCAAATCCAGAGAGTACCCGGAAGAATGAGTGATTGTTTGGACAATCATAATCTAATTACAATAGCCTACACTCACCATTGCTGCTGTATGAGACATGTTTATGAATGTTACTGAGCTATTATTGGTCAAATGCAGTTAATTAGTAAAATTTAAAGGAAAATAAGCTGACAGCTCATCTCCTCTGTAGTTCTTCAGTTTTTGACTGAACCAAGACAAGTCAAACACAAATTAGTGAGTTCTGCTATTGATTATCAACAACAACAACAAAAAAATTCACATCAGTTCATTCTCATTTTTACTTGGAAAGCACAACAAAACTGTGTGACATGATTTGGTTAGTGTTAGGCTTTAAAAGGGTGAGCGGATTAGCTTTTTCACTAACTTTATAAACAGTCAGTGGACGAGTTAGTTTCTGCTAAATTAGTTTTTGCCAACTTTAAGTCCGCTAAGTAAAATCAACAGGTTTGTGTCTTCAGCTGGAAGGAGATGATGTGTAGACTGATTCAGCAAACTTGTACCTATTTGGCTATTTAGAGTTAACTTCTCCTATGTTTTTATGCTTAGCATTAGCAAAGCTATATTTAGTGTATTATGAGTTAGCAAACTAACTTTTTTTGATCAGCTGTGTCCCATAGTGCCAGGAAAAACTGATACTGTCAAAACTTTACTTTAAGTATTGATGCATAATAATAGGATATTACTCCAAATAAAAAAATCATTTGACCTTTTATTTTATTTAATTCATTTTTTAACCTAAAGTGACGTTGTATTACAAAAAATTAAAGACGGTTTTCAACATTTTTGTCCTTTCACGGCACCCATTCAGAAAATACCGTAAAGCCCCAAATAGTGCAGCCTTAGATCTGCTAGCTTGATGCAACGTAGCATGCTAAATCGGCGTCTTATTCTCATACCGCTTAACAACAGGGATGCTGTTTACTATGCTTGATATATGTTTAGTTAAGTAAAATTTGGCAAATTATATGCGCTTTTATACTGATGACGAGGCTTCGACGAGTAAAGTGAAAGGATCGAACCCAGAAAGATGGAGGCCGCAAATTTCGCCTTGCGCTGTCAGTGGACATTACGGTGTATTTCCGTTTCCGCTCACCGACAGCCGATTTTTAGCTCTATCAAGACGACCTACGACAAGATTCAGGCATCAGAAACTTCCTGGCCAGGCTGCTACGACCGAAATCTACAACCAACCAAGAACACAGCCACAGAGTGAACAATTATGTCTTCAAAGAAGCCCATGTGGTCTAATAAAGAAGCACAATTTGTAAAGCTTTGGCAGCAACGTGAGTGCCTATATAATATTTCCTCCAAAGACTACCACGATCGATCTAAAAAAGAAAGCGCTTGGAGGGAAATATCAGAAGAACTGCAAATACCAAGTCAGTATTTACTTGTTTACAAAAGCAATCATCCCATTTCACAAGTTTTTTAAATCACACACTTGAATGCACACATAAACGTTTCAATAAATACCAAACAAAATGACTCATTGTTTGCAGCGAGAGAGGTCATAACCCGTGCCGCTTCGCTTCGGACTCAGTATGGAAAACTCGTGCACCCCAAACCTGGTGGAAGTGGGACCAAGGAACTCACATCTCGACAAAAGTGGATCTTAAAAAGCATGGAATTCCTCAAGTGTCACGTGTTGCCACGTCAGGCTTTCAGCACACTGGAGGTAGGCTGTGTGTTTATAATAAACACCGAGATAAACACAAACTGTTACAAACTGAACACACTATGTAGGTAAATATGAAATCACATGCAGTCTTCAGTTTTTCCTTAAATCAGCATAAATAAAAGAAGAGATTAACGTTTCAGTCTGATTAGACCCTCTATATATAAATAAAACACTTAATGCAGAGTACTTACAATATGTTATAGACCAATTAAATTGTATTATTTACGTCCTGATGCATCTCAGTAGTCCAGGTAGAAAAAAATCAAAAAGAAAAATAAGTAGTATATAAGTGTATTATTTACCCTCTTCACTTTAACAGCAGTGTGTGGATGATGTGGGAAATGAAGAGCAAGACTGTGCAGAGGAGACAGATGATCCAGCCTCATCAGCACCTTCACCTCAAGAATCATGGAACAGTCCCGTCACCCCCACAGTGAATGCCCTGCAACAGCATCAGCCGAAACGAAAGCGGGGCCACAAGAAAAGCAACAGCACTGAAACAGAGGAAAATCTTGAGCGAGAGAAAGTGTCATTATTGAGAAAAGTAGTTACAAACGCTTTCAGTTCCAAAGATTCTGATGATCTCTTTGGTAAATATGTGGCCAGCAAGATGCGTCAAATAACCGATCCTGTGGAGAAAATGAAAGCAGAGCAGTCTATCACAGCAATATTATATGCAGCGCAGGAAAGGAGCATGTCAGGAACCCAACCTCCGACAGAACCCTGTGACCCGACACCACAGCCAGTGCTTCAGGATTTCCCTCAACTCACATCACACACATTAAATATTCAGGTTAAAGAAGAAGACAAAGAAGAAAAACTCTTTTCAGAAAGAAGTTAATTGATTTCACTTTTTCGATGTTAAAAATTATGGATGTTTTATTTATTTTTTTATTTTTAAATAATGTTTGTTTTTTACACCAAAAACAAAAAATCACATGTGAAATTTGAAGGACTAATTTATGCGTTTGTCATTCATTTGCATTGGATTTTCAGCTCCAGGTATCCGCAAGTGAAGTCTTCATTCTTATTTCACTTGTATTTACACAAGGGATCTCATTGAGACATTGGGCCTCATTCTGAAGAGAGAACACACAAGACTATACTGTAGTTGCAGACAAAGTCAATACTGTGCATACAACAATAGACCATTTTGTAATTAATATAGTTACAAATCCGCAAAGTGGCAGAGCTCCAAAATCTTGCTGCAAAAACGCTGAGATTTGTATGGAAACACCACGGGAATTGAACCAATTGAACCAGTAAATTTACATGGTTATACAGACCTAAATTGCTCTAAATTGATTTGTTTTAACTTCCCTTTATGATCATAGATTCTATTTTTCATGATTTTAAAGCTATAAGTATGCTTTTTGAGCTTGTTGAATTTAGAGTAGGCTAATGTGAACCCGTAACTACAAAATGGTCTGTAACGGTATCACAAAAACAGCATTGAAGTGTGTATTTTGACAGCCATATTTGAGAAAACAACATACATTTAGTTTGTTTCTCTATTTTTAAAACTGAATGTCTTAAAGATATTTTTCAGGAATTGCAATACGTTTTGCTGTAAGTTTTAATTTGGATATCTAAAAAAATATTATTTCAAAACATTTAAGCTAGTAAGAATATTCTTAGTTTTAATACTGCACTGAGAGAATGCCATTTTGATGGAACAAGGAACGCTATTATTGACGCTTTAAAAAGCAATTGGTGAAAGTAGTGCGTTTTAATTACATGTTGCAACGGTCTGCCATAAAAAATCTGTGTGTATGTGACCGCATTGAGTCGCTAGAGGTTATCCGAGGCTCACATCGCCACGCTGACTTTTCCCAAAACATTCCCTCCACCCGGCTGGCTGCTCGTGCTACGTCACAACCACTCCCCTCCCGCCTCGTGCAGCGCTGGTTAGTGTTTAGTGGCACGAGACCAGAGCTGTTCTTGTGTACAAATTGTCAGCTGTGTATGGTTTATGTTGTTCCGTTAAAAGTCGCCTTTCTGTCGCTGGACTTTGGTTTAACTTCAATACCGTTTTTTCCCCTTTAAATTCAAACTGTCAGACCTGTGCCCCACCATCGACGGCTCGCGCCCTTTGTAACTGAAGTCAATGGTGAGTAGCTTCTCTGCTGTGTTAGCTTTTAGCATCATCATTTCAGTCGCTGACCGCTGATGGACCAAACACTAAACAGAAAAAGTCGAAAGTCGTTGTGGCCCTCGGACAGTGCCCATCACAGACGGTAAAGTGGCATGAAATAGAAGTCTTTGTTTCTTTCAGAGTTGACAGATGTGTTGTTGTTTTGTTTGTTTAAACCTCGTGAGTCACCGATGATTCGTGATTACATCGAGACGAGAGCTGATCATTTTCTCTCATCCGTCATCTTTCAGTGGTTCTGTTTACTAACTTTGTTACAGTTGTGAAGGACAAATTCTTACTTTAATTGATTCGTTAGAAGCAAATGATCACATAAATAATAATAAGAAGAAGATAAACTAATTGTACAATTGGATTTTGGTGTAAAAAAGACCAGCCTATTTTCCTCAACCCTAGATGCGCGAGTGACCGGACCCTACACTCTTCCGGAAGTGGGTCTTTTTTGACCCGTGTTACAATCAATGTGTTTTTATGCTACTTTTGTCATTTTGATTCAAAATAATGTTTTATATCATATTTACTACTGTGACTTATTCCATATTTAATTTTTTTTTATTTTTCACTTTTTGAAAACATTTTTAGAACATTTTGAAAACAATGAAATGACCATTTTAGAGTAGCAATGGAACAATGTCAACAACGTCCATTATGTGCGTGAGTGTAAAAGGTTGCCCTTTGTCACTGATTCTGTTCATAACTTTTATGGACAGAATTTCTAGGAGCAGCCAAGGTGTTGAGGGGATCCGTTTTAGTGACCTTAGGATTACTTCTCTGCTTTTTGCGGATGATGTGGTCCTATTGGCTTCATCAGATCGTGATCTCCAGCTCTCACTGGAGCGGTTCGCAGTTCGGTTTACCGGTTGGTCGACGTTCCTACCCTCATCTATGGTCACGAGCTTTTGGTAGTGACCAAAAGAATGAGATCGTGGATACAAGTGGCCGAAATGAGTTTCTTTCGCAGGGTGTCTGGGCTCTACCTTAGGGTGAGAAGCTCTGTCATCCGGAAGGGACTCAGAGTAGAGCCGCTGCTCCTCCACGTCAGAGGAGCCAGTTGAGGTGGCTTGGGCATCTGGTAAGGATGCCTCCCTGGTGAGGTGTTCCAGGCACGTCCCACTGGGATTAGACCCAGAGGAAGACCCAGGACACAATGGAGGGACTATGTTTCTTATCTGGCCTGGGAACACCTTGGGATTCCCCCGGACGAGCTGGCCCAAGAAGCTGGGGAGAGGGAAGTCTGGGTCTCTGCTGCTTCCCCCACGACCCATCTCCAGATAAGCAGAAGAAAACGGAATGGTCCCCACAAGAGTGAGATCCTTCTCCAGGAGAAACACACAGAAACAGCCACACAGATACAACACATACAGTAATTTTCACTAGCTTGTTAAGATAGCTAGTGTTAGCTAACTTTGAAGTAGGTATGTTGATTCATGTCAAAAACACTGTCACAGCAGTCATGATTGACACATGCACACACACATGCACACATTTGTGAAGTAAGAAATTAATATAATACATGTAAAAGTTCCTGCAATATAAAATATTATTATTCAGGGGTGACACTTAGGACTTGGTGTGTATGGTCCACAAAATATGTATTCCTGACAGTCACAGTTGGTAAGAAACAAAGGTTCCCATTAAATTCCATAGGAAGTAAGTGTGGGTCATTTTTGACCCACTTACGGAAGAATGGGGCAGTAATTGAAAAAATGCTATTTATTAAAATGTATAAAAGATAAATAAAAAAATGTAATTGCGTGATATCAGTAACAAGTTTGTTGAGGAATACCTGGAATCTGAAATGATGAAAACTTTTCATTACAAAGATATTGTAAAAAAAAAAAAAAGACCTCACCAGGTCAAAAAAGACCTACTTACGCATCTAAGGGTTAATAATGGACTACCAGCTTTCTTACTTTTCATACAGTTTAGGTAGATAAACTTAGCACAAAACAGTAATGACATTTGTGTTTGGTAAATTATTTCTTTGTTGTAACAATAATTCTTGACGAGAGTCTTATATCATTAAAAGCCTGTTAATTTCCAATTTTAAATGGTGCCACATTTATAAGGAAGATGCATTTGTTGGATGAGCAGTAGAGTTGAGTATCTGGGTTGCGCACATGAAAACATTGCAAAACATCTTATTTTGCTGCTGTTGACACTTGTTTTGAATTTCTGGTACTGCCAAACAGTTGCCAAGGATTGTCACAATAAAAAATAATGTACTAAACACAAATGGCCTTACTTTTTGTGCTAAGTAAATGCTTCTTAAATATTAGCCACATTAGATTTTTGTGCTTTAATCTGTGTTTGTATTGCTGTCAGTTAGTTTTGTTTGTTTTTGTTTTTGTTTCTGTTTTGTAATGTCTCATTTAATCATTCTTATCCTTGTCTGCATCTTGACAGTTGAGAAAACATGAAGAGGGATCAAGGACAAAACATTTAGGTTAGTAATAGTTATTACACAAAAATTGGGCAATATTTTGAACTGACTGTTTTAATGTTGCAGATTGAAAATGTTTATTTTATCTGTGCTAAAGCAGTTTTGTAAAACTTAAGTCAAATAAATGTCATTGATTACAGTGTTGTGATGACATGACAGATGTCTGACAGAAAATATTGTGCAGTAAGGATAAATCACTGGTTCACTCTCTGTGTGTGACTCGATAAGTAGGTGCATCATCTCATAACGCTGGCTGCAACATCGGAACTAAGCCCTGGACTTAGTCTCTTTCTGAGCTGAAACAATTACTTAATGAATAAAAAGTAATTGGTAAGAAGCCAGCCGGACAAAATGCAAAATCCTCAGAGGTTCAGATTGTCTACCGCAAAGATTTGCTTTACTGTCATGTATTACTTTAGCTTTATACAGACAAATCCCATTGAGGTCACAGAGATATTTTTTCAAGGAAAGCCTGAAGGCAGCATGAACATGCATGTCTTTGGTGGGAGGAAACCGGAGTACAGATAACCCACACAAACACTTGGAAAACAGGCAAACTCCACACAAATAGACGGCAGGCCAGAGCTGAGGATTGAATCCAGGACCTTCTTGCTGTGAGGCAACTGTTCTAATCACTAATCCACCATTCTGCCAAATCCTTCCTTTTGTTAGCTTCTGATCTAAACTGTTGAATACTTTAATTGAAAGCAGCATCTTATGTTTATTGAGGAGTAACATGTGCTTTTGGTTAAATGGGAACACCCATCAGGCCTTTGTGCAGAACTGTAATGGAACAGTCTTCAGCGGCTTTTGGTGTCTTATTTGCCCTGCTCTTTGTCAATGATATGTTTGTCACTTCACCTTGGGAATTCTTGGAAGAAGCAGATAAACAGTGACACCACCTCTGTGCTATCAGACTGACTTCTGTTATGGGGTTGATAGCCTTGAGGCTCTCATACGTGTCAAAACTGAGTTTTGGCAAGGCGATCGTTTTCAGGCAGGCTTTTCTACATTCCTGTTGTTTACCTTCATGTACAAACTAATAGCTAACTTGGTGTCTGTACTTTTGACTTGAACCATGCAACTAAAGCAGTTTTTTTTTCGAGTGTGTCCATTTTTGCAGAAACTTGAGGATTAAAGAATTTGTTTTAAATCTCTTGGTTTTACTGGGACATTACAGGAAGTTTGTGTTGGAAAACATTCGGTCGCAGCTGCCTACCTGTGGCAACCAGTGTTTCCCTGAGGCTTCAAACCCTTCTTAGCAACACAATATTTTCTAGACAAGATGTAGTGAGATGCACAGATAAGTTGGACAAGTTAAGATACGCAACATTGGCTGTATTCTGTCAAAACACAAACAAACTTAGATCTTTATACTCTTTTATTAATAGCAAAAGGCTGTCCTAACCTGTTATAAAATCATGAAAATTATAGCATGATTTTTTAATCTGATCTGGCAGGAAGTTTTACCCTTTTTTTTAAACCAGAGATGAACATACACTTTAAATGGACTTATGTGTGTGTACTTGTACCCATGTTGTTATTCCCACCATGTCAGGCCCAGGCAGACAGACATGAGCTGGGCTGAAGAGGACTGGACGGTGGGCCTTTCTGGACGGGTCCTGCAGAAAGTGAAGGAGCTGCAGATCCATAAGGAGCGTCTGTCTAGAGAGAACAAACAAAAACAGCTGCAGCTGGACAACATCCATACCAGCCTTGAGAAACAAACCGTGAAGGTATGCTAACATGCTAATGAAAGAACTTGTGTTCCCACAAAACAAGTAATAAATTAGTAATAAAATCACACGTCATACTGTCGACATCAAGTTTGTACATTGAACTGGAATTTTCACAGATTAACCTAGAAGAAACCATCTAATATAATTTGTCCTGCTCCTCTTCATTAATATTCAGAATGCAAATTGTTTGTGTTTCACTTAATTATAAGTAACAACCTTACGAGGATAATTAACAATTCCATATTACCCCCCCCCCCCCCCGTTCAGCTTTTTTTGTTGAAACATGAGCATTTAGATTTCCTCTTTTTTCCCCCTCTCCATCTGTGAAGCATGAGAAGGTCCGTGGGGAGCTGCAGTCCACACAGAGAGAGCTGCAGAGTGTTCAGGAAGAGGCCCAGGCAGCAATAACCAACAAGGAGCGCCTGACCCAGGAGCTTCACACCAGACGGGCCCAAGTATGTTCTTTGGAGGGGCAGCTGGACGCTGCTCATTCTCACAACAACAAGCTCACGCAGGAAGTCAAAAGGTCAGCACAAGTAAAATGATCTTCACTTTCAGTTGCTCTTTTATGGAAAAATATGGTTTATATTTTGGTTTTCTACTTTTATAAAGGTATCAATAAACAGTGGCCATGTGTTGTTGCTATAATGTAATTTGGTAATAAAATACAAATTAGTAATCAAATTGGATATCTTCAAGTTATGCAACATTAATGTAAAAGTTTTTGTGTAGTTTTGCCTTCACTGTCGTCTATTTAAACCATTCCTGTTCTTGTTGCTTTCTTTTTCCTCCATCCCTCGCTCTGTGGCAGGCTGGAAGCTGAGCTGGAAAAGCTTCAGAACAGTAGCAGGCTGGCGGACACCACTCTGTTTTCCACACCCTGCTGGAATACCACATCACCCTGGGAGCACAATGGTACAATTATTTTTTAATTTATGACTCCTAGGTTTGTTTTGTTTAGTGGTTTTGTGCTTCTCTTTCTACTAATGCACTGTGTAATTTAGAAAAATAAAACCACAACTATTCCCTGAGGAGCAGAGTGGTTATAAAAAAAGTCCTTCAGTGCTGATGCTTTCCCAGCCCATCACTCTCGGGGGGGATTGTCATGTTTGTCTTTCTTCTGTCACCAAACTACTTGGATGTGCTCTGACTCTGCTGCAGTTTGTGTTTAACTTTGGCAGCAGCGTTTAGGCTTTAAATTCAGTCCTCATGCTGTGCTTTTGCCCTACAGGGAGCAAACAGGAAGAAAGATCTGGACAGCAGAATGAAGGGCCGAGCCGGGCTCATCACATACGAGTAAGTATCAGCTTATTCTTCACTGAGCTTTCTGTGGGTAAATCCAAGACTCCCGTGGAGTTTATCTGTTCTCATTGGAAAGATTTAGTTTCCTTTATACCAGAAAAGCTTAACTCTTCTCCTTCAGGATAAGCCTTTCTTTCAATATATCCTCGAACAGGCTTAAGAAATTAATGACATTGTTCCACTCATTGACCAGATGGATGTGTGGCTCTCAGGACTTGACCTGCTGTTGTTTTTTTATTAAAACCTATGGAGAATTTTGCTCTCAAAGTGGAAATGTCAAGAGGCTACTAAGTAACATCATAAAAAATAAACCAGTGTTCACTCACTAAATATTATAAGTTTGTATATCATGCCATACTTTAGCAATCTAATTAGGAAGAAAGGAAATTATTACAGTATATTTGACATTTTTGTGATAAGAAGTTTGTATTGGGGTTTTGCAAAATTGTATTGTGTGCGTCAAAAAGAAAAAATAAGTAGTTCCTCTGGATGGGTTCTTCTTTAGTGAAACGTATGTATTGTGTGCAATTATTTGTCAGGAAAAACTTTTGCCGGTTATTATTTGGCACTTATTGTTATGACTTCTTGTTCCTCTTCTAATCCAAATTTATCAAAGTTTTCACTCTGTCTCAGACTGTTTTCCCCTCCATCTCTGCCTTTGAGCTCCCCCCACCCCACTCTCTGAAAAGGTTCTGATCGGGTTCTGATCGGTCCATCTGTGTCTGCAGCTCCAAGTTCAAACATCGCCACGTTATTTTGATTCAAAGACACTAAAACAGACTAAACACATGAAATTGCACCATAAAATTCAAACATTCTAGATATCATGAAACTCTCGGATCTCATTGCTCAGTCCTGCTCCCGCTGTGTCTATATCACTTCTGAACTTCATTCAACTTTTGAATTTTTTTTGTTTTCTTCTTCCTGTAGAATATTTAGATTCTTGTCAAATAATTTCAGGCATCAGTCAGAAAGGAGTTAAGGGGTTTTATGTCCGTTCAGCAGGTTGTGGGTGAGACTAGAGGGTGAATTAAGGTGTTTTTTTTTTCTGTCACTGCATCCTGTTGTCAAATATGACAAACATTTTAAAAAATAAGTTAAATTGGTCATGTGACTAGGATGTGCCAAGTCCAAGATTATAATAGTTTGGGATTTTTCATAATAGTTTAGTTTTATTTCGTTGTGGCTTTTTTTCTTTTAATTCAGTTAGTTTGTAATAACATTAATCGATTATTTTTTGGCACTTGACGATTAATACGATTAATGCCACCAGGCAGACCGACTGGAGATTTCCCCGGTCAGTCCGCTCGGTGCTCCTCTCCGCTTCAAATACGAACATTTAAACAAAAGTTCTGTAATTTATTTATCAACACAATTTAAAATTTGAAGTATAGCCTGAAGTCTGTGATTTTGACACAGTTTGAAAAAGATTTTTACGAAGAGCAAATCTTTCCCACTAAATTGGTCATGTGATTAGGACATAAGGATGTCCAGGGACTCCAGGGGATTAATCGTCAAATTAATCGTTATCGGCTAAATACCACAATTAATCATGATTAATTTTTTTGCCAATATTGCCCAACCCTAGTTGTTATGGACCATGAGGTGCCGTAAGCTTCCCACAGCTAATGTGAAACTACTCAATTTAAAAAAAAAATAATAAATTGACAAACAATAAAACTAAGGATATTCTATCTATAATTTCAGTTAGTTTTAGTTAGTTTTGTAAAAAAATTATACAGTTTTAGTAAATCGTTTTTCATTTTATTACAGTTTTTATTTATTTTAGTTAAAATGTTTTTTCAATTTCAGTTAGTTTTAGTTAACTATAATAACCCTGGTGCCAACGTCATATTAATTGTTACTGGCTAACTGCCACAATTAATCATGATTAATTATTTTGCCAATATTGCCCAACCCTAGTTTGTATGCAGTATATAATCACAGACAATACTGGAAGTGTTGTAAAGTTTATCAAAAAAATTGAGAATAACTAAACTTTAATTATATTATATAATATATAGTTTATATAAAATCTCTGCTAACATTTTATTTCTTATCTTAAATTTTGTTTTCACTCGTAATTTTTCTTCAATCTTCAGCAGCAGCTGCAGTTTTCAGACGTGCCCCCAGCATCACGACAACAAACCAAGGGCACGCCGCACCGCCACCCGTCCGACCAGTCTGACATCTTTTCCACACCCTCGGCTGCGTTTCCTTGGGAACGGGATGATTCTAGACCAGCGTCCAGGAGACGACTGCAGCCCCCTCCTCAGACTTCCAGCCCTGACACCATGACTCAAGGCCCGCTGGAGCAGAGGACCAGTTGGAAGGAAAGGGACAAGCAGATGGAGACGGACAGTAAGTGAGGACGTTCAGTGGAGCAACTGGTCCATTCATGCAGGCTTTAGTCTTTAAAACAGCTTTAAAAAGTTGGATTAATATAAGAACAGGAGCCAGCACGGTTACACCCTGATCCTTTTAACTAAGTCGGAGTTTTATAGTTAATCAACATCAAATTAAGTCCAAAGAGTTAGTCTTGCTTTGTTTAAATTAGTCAACATGTCAGATATACTCTAATAACACTTGTTGCGTAAGAGGTTGTTTATAAATCACAGCTGAGCCAGACATTCCTTTGGCTGCTCCAGAACCAGCTTCATGATGCAAAGTGGCCCTTACCACACTTTTTATAATTGTGCTCACAGCTCCAACGTGTCGAGGAGGGAGTGGACAGTTTGATGGGAAACAATAAATTCTGACTTTATTTGCTGAGACTCCAGGGTGAGAGAATCAGTGTTTTGTTTTTATCCTACTTTTAGCCGTTTATTATAAAACATTAATTACAAAACTCTTTGTTGTTGTTTTTCACAGAATGAATTAAAAATCAATTTAGATTAGTTATATATAAAATGGTGAATAGCTGTAAAAACAATTGCAGAGAATTTATACAAAGTGTTAGATCACAAAATATAAATTTAAATAATTTCTCTGATTTTTAGAAATCATCTTTCTGTCATCTACAGCCTTGGTCAAAGATCGCCGTGCAGCGTGACACCAGCTGTGTTTGTTATTGATCCAGTTTCTATAGATTGACCTCGTTTATGAAGACTCCAACTCTATGTTGTTGTTTGTCCTTTAACAGTTACTTTTCAGACATCCAACTTTTCTTGCTGATAATATTTGTTTTGCAGATTGATGTTAAGCTACATGGAATGTTTCCAAGTTTTTCCATTCACTTGTTTTGTTTTTGGTGTCCTCCGCCCACTCAGGCACCTTTCACCCCTTTAACATTTGACACAAATCTGTGAGCAGTAGGAATGCGCGATATAAACGATATACAATAGAAACGATATAAATTTGTCCAATGATAGAGATCTGTAGTCTACCGGCCAACCGCGCAATTCTTTTGGATGATTTAACCAGCTGGAGTCAAAACAGAGGAAGCGGGAAGCAGCGTGGCTGAGAGCGCAAATGAAGTGGGGGGGGGGGAGAAATAACTTATCCGGACCTGGTTCGGGTGTGTGAAAATGAACGCTGAACTATATATATATTTGATTTAACCAGGTAGATCTCCCTTAAATTTAGATTTTTATGGGAGACTTTAAAGTGTTAAAAAAGGAGATTTTAAGGTCTAAATTTTTTTTACCTATACATATTTATTCCACTGAATCAATGTGTGATTTATTTATTTTCTATTGTAAGTTTTATATTGTGATATATATCGTTACCACCACTCATCATAATGTATATTGTGATATGAATTTTTTGCCATATCGCACATTCCTAGTGAGCAGCTGTTTCCACATACAGATGTTTTATGTTGAAAGCTCTAGATAATTTGTAGTAAATGGAAACTTTCACTAAAATAAATAAGCTTTAGAGCCTTGAAATATATAAAAATAAATTCTTATCTGATTGGATCGTGTAGAAAAATGCAAGTGCAGAAATGTGATCTTAGATGACCCTGATTTTTATCAAGACACTCCTGTTCAAGAACTGTTTGGTGTGGCGGCAGTATCTTACTGGACTGCCTCTGCAGTCTGTGTTCATTGAGATTCATGTGGCGTAAATGTATAAACAGAGGAGGTGCAGAGCATTTACACAGTATGTCTACTCTTTATACAAATTTGCAGTCTTTTAAAACTGCAACTATAAAAGTTGTGAAGGTGTAACCTTATTGACTTATTGTCTTTCTGTGTTTCTCCCGTCCACCAGTGTCTTCATCAGAACTACAGAGTCATGTCTCGGCTCTGGAGGAGACCGTCTCTGAGAAAGTCGAGATGCTGAAGTCCGTTCGGGGTGAACTGATGCAAACCAAGAAGGAGCTTGCTGCCAAAGAGCTCAGCCTGCAGAAAACTTGTGAGGAGCTGAATGTGGCCCAGACACGCATGGCCCAGGACAGAGAACGGGTAAAAACACCCACAGATAATACTGCTGATAGTGAAGGTGGGGCGACTGCTGCTGCCTGAGCTGTTTGTTGACACGGGTGTTGGCCTCAGTTGTCTATAACTGAAATCTTTCCATCTGCTGTGTTTATAAAGCAACAGAAATTAATCTTTTTCAATGTTAGAATAGTCATCAATAACTAATTAAAATTAGGTAAACATAAGACACTGTAATAAACCTGTTAAATCGCATAACTGAAGAGCAGCTTTTATATCACACTTAGACATAAACCTCATTATTATTATAGATCTAACCCCTTTGAAATAAAAGTTATAAAGTAGCTGGAGTTCCTTTTCATTATATCATCCAAAATGGTAAATTGACTGTACTTACACAACGCCTTTCTATCCAACCAGGATTCTCAAAGCCTCATATACCCATTCACACAGCACTCTATTAGGTCTCTACGAAGCTAACATGTACAGTCATCTATGGAGACTAATCAGAGCTATAAATCACATTCATACACTGATGGGACACACATCAGAGGCATGAAGGGTTCAGTGTCTTGCCCACAGACACAACCCATGACATGAACACAAAAAGGCAGGTTCAGTAATTTTGGTTTGAAAACAAAGGTCACTACCAAAATGATGTACAAAATATGATTTCATACCAACAAATCTTTAAATAAAGACAATTTATTGGTCAAATTACTGTAGGTAATAGGAGTGTAAATCACCAGCTTTGTCTCGAAACAACTGATGGAGTTTTAAATGCATTTCACATATTTATTCTTGACATGGTTAGAATACTTTTACTATAAGCTATGTGCCGTCAGTTTATTTTCATGCTGTGATTAAGATTGTTGTGAGAACAACAAATTCCTGAGGGATTCTCTAGTAACATTTTGATAAAATCAGATGCGTAATGTTTGTACAACAGGACTTCCTTGTTAGAAAACTGTGTCAACCAATAAGTGAGGTCATTTTCAGTTTATGTTTTCAGTTTAGTTTAGTTTTGCCCTGATGTGATCGAATCATTTGTTATTTAATGAAAAGCAACTAAAGGCTTTTTTTTGTATTTTGTTGATGACAGGCATCAGAAACAGAGCATAGACTGAAACAGCTACAAGAGGAGCTCAAATGCCAGAGGCAAAATGCAGAAAGCAGTCGGCTGCAGCACCAACAGCGGACAAAGGAGCTGGAGAAACAGCACCAGAGGGTCAGACTTGACACTTGCGAAAAGAAAAGAAGATACATAATTCTGTTTCCTGTTTTAAGATTTGAGTGTTTGTTTGGGTGCAGGATGTAGCAGAGCTTCAAAAGGAGAGGCAGTGTCTGGAGAAACAACACCAGCAGGAGGTCAATAAGTTGAATCAGGAGCTCCAGCAGGCTCGGACGACCCACAATGCCCTTCAGGCCCAGGCTGATAAGGTAAATACACACACAATACCTGCATGATAAGCGGACAACTGTTCCTTTTAAAATAATATCACCACATGTGGTGAAACAGCTCTGTATCGACAACAAACTGATATTCTGCTGATGCTTTAGCTTCTCTGCCCTGCTTTTTCAGCCGTTTCCTTTCTCTTTTCTTTCTCTTATTTCATGCAAACTTTTCTTCCCTTCTCTCGCTCCCTTTTGTGCATCTGTTTTTAAATATTTGTACAAAAGGTCAATAAACTTGTCTTTTTTTTCTTCTCCCAGACTTACTTCTTGTCCTCTTTTCTTCCCACTGTCTGCTTTTTTCCCCGTCTCGCTGTGAGTGTTTCTGTCTCCCTCCCAACTGCTTCACTCTTCTTCGTCCTCCTCTTCTCTCCTCTTGGTTTCTCCTCAGAGGGAAAGTTAAGCTGCAAAGGTAATAACAGCGTGATCATGTTTGACAATACTTGGTGTTTTGATTTTACAACCATGAAGCAAACTCATAAGCTTGTGTGTGGGGAAAAAATAAACACTCAGAAATCGTATTTATATTTTAGAGATGCGTGTCTATATATGCTTTTATTCCCACCTTCTTTAAACATAATACACTTATCAGCACTATAAAATAAAACTTGCTTTTTATTTTTATTTTATGTAGTTTAAAACAAGAAACAAAACTTTTCAAGAACTGTCATTTTGACCCACAGTGTCCAGTAAAACTATAAAACCTTTGAGAGCCAAAGAGGCTTTTATTGTCAAAGCTGCTTTAGAAGCAAATCATAAAATGACTTGTTTTACTCACAAAACCAGCTGCAGTGTTGTGTGGTAAATGATTGATGAATGAAGTTATAGTTTGCAGTTTACACAGGTATCATTTGACAGTTTGTGTGTGCGTGCGTGCATGGAGCTTCAGTCACAAGAAACCCACAAAACCTGTTTACATAATTTTACATGTCCAGATTTTCTCAGTGGTATTTTGTGCTTTGAGTCTGTTGGCAGCCATTCAAACAGCAGATAATTACGAAGCTTGGGAAACATTTGCATAAATCTCCCAGCACACCAGAAAAAGCTGCAGCGTCAGAGTCTGAGTCACTCGTTAGACTTGTTAGGTGTGATTTATTAGTGTTGAGTTGTTCCAGGAAGCTGCACGGAAAAAATATCTGTCATCGTCACTTCTCTCAGCAGTATTTTCCTACCCTTTTTTTTTTTTTAGAAATGCAAGTTTACTCCAACTGTTTAGCAATCTGTACAAAACAGTGATGTTTACCTTTTATTGGTTTGATTTGTCAGAATATTTACAGCCTTGTTTAAAGTTTCATGACAAATGAACATGTTGATATTTTAAGCATAGAAAGCATGATGCATGAAACGTGTGAGAAATTGTGCAGAAAGACTAGAAGTACAAATACTTTTATTAGATTAATAAAGACAACGTAGTGACTGAAACTGAATAAGGAATGCAGCATACAATAGTGTCTCTTGAGCCACCCCTCTTTATTTATATTATTATTTATCTGAATATTTTTTCTCCAAGAAGTTAAATCATTTTGTTGTCACATGAACAGCTGTTCCTCAAACAGGTTTAACTTCATTAATTATACACAGTTTTTCTATTTCAGTGCTGTTGTTTTAGCTGAAACTTGGCCTCTGCTGCAACACTCAGCATCGTGTCCTAGAATAAAAAAGAGGAAATTGAACAACTGGATGACAATAAAAGAAGACATAATCATGAAAAATATAGTAAATGACAAACATTCACAACGCTGTTTAAAATAAACACAAAGCAGTCAGGAAAAAACCTGAAAGATGCATCAGCTTTATTAGTGCAAAAATATTATTTTATGTTATTTTTTATTTTATGTCAAGTTGTACTAAAGCTGGATTTTTTAAATATATTTGAACAAAAGAAAATGAAAAACTTTTGCTCATAACTTTGTGACAAAACATAAGGATGCTAAAGACAAAGGTTGTCATTTATTTTGTTCAGTTGTCTGTAATTTATAGACACAAACAGTTTTAATCTTGTATTTTAAAACCATTTTTTAACTGAATGATTTTTTTAGGTGAGAGTGGGAAACCTTTTAACAAACAAAAGGTGAAAATTATGAAATAAAATGACATTACGTGAAAAGTAAGCAGTGTTTAAAACCTGGAGAACTATGATCCAATGGCAATTTTCAAGAACTATTATTA